CCGTGCTAGAAAGCTGTGATCGGTTCGTTTTGCGAAAGTTTTGAACAAAGCTAGCGAGCTAGAGGGATCCAGGAGGCGAGAGAACGGCACGGTGAGGGTTTTGAGAAGGAAGTGTCGAGCCGACAAGATAATTCATTCCGTAAAATAGAAGCGGTGCAAACAGTTTCCCTGCTTCAAACTGCACGTGATCCTATTGATCTGTTTCCTACATTGCTTGCCGCACTCGATATGAGGAAAGTGATCAGAGCTTCCGTACTTCGTACTTCAATGATCATAGATAGTTTCAGACTTAACTGGAAAGTACAATGGCCGTAATCAGAGATTTGTCTAAAACTACTCTCCTAGGAAAATAAGGCTGTGTAAATTTTGAAATATACCCAGTCGGGATTAATTTTTTCACAGGCTCGGCGTCGTTATACATTAAAAAAAATAAATAAAAAACAAAATAAAAAAAATAAAAATCAATACTATCGTCAAGAGATCGAGTGTTGTAATGGAAAAATTTCCATTGACACAGTAATCTGACTGATTTTTTTTTTCTCTTGTGACACTTACATTTCCATTGATGAAGTAATCTAATTGATTTTCTTCTCTTGTGACACTTTTTCAGTCGCATTGTTGAATTAGATCCTTCACCCTCGCCGGTTTATACTGAAGTATCATTGTTATCATGAGTAGAAGGGCACTTCTGAAGTCCATCAAAAATTATATTTAGGACAAAAAGTATGTTTAAAAATAGTACTGGGTCCACACTATTTTGCGCGAGAAAAAAAACCGAAAAGTTTAAAAAGTTTAAATAGAGTAGCAAATGTGAGCTTTAATGAGTACCAGTACAAGAGTGAAGGCAGAGAGTGTTCATCTCAGGCAGATGCATTGGATATTAAGCTGAGGTCACGCCGAGAGATCTGCAACGTTTTGGATCTTTTTAGACCTTATCAGTAGATTATACACATAGTTTGGACTGTATTTTCCTTATCAGCTGCTCTTACATCTTGCAATCTACATAGGTGGATGCAGAAACAGCTTTTTCAATAAAACCCATGTTTCATTTAAACTTTCAGCGCTTTCACGAGGCTCAAGTCCATCCCACAAAAAATTACAACCTCTGGATACATTTATTTCAACCTCTAGGATCGCGTATTGCATAACCGTTTGAATGAGGGCTAATACGAATTGCAGATTAATTCACATGTACTTTGCTCCGCGTCTTGTATTAGAACTTTCATGCGTGCTGCATAGCAATAGGAGACTTAGTTTTTTTAAATTTTGACAGTAACTGTTACGTTTGTCCATTTTAATTAATGTCATCATTTTTACAGCTTTCTTTTCAAGCATTGAATTCAAACGTTTTTCTCATCTGCAACAAATAGAGGCACTATGCATCTTATGCAGAAAGGTACTTTTATCGAGCCAAAGCCAGAGACAGAGGTTCCTTATTGCAAAATGTAATCAAACTGTTCCAGGGACTTGAACGCCCGACACCCTCTAGAAGCATTCGAATTCAAGTTCAAATTGGACTACATTTTGCAATAGGGAACCGCTATGACTGGCTCTTCCACACACAATATTTGTGTAATTAGTTTCACGTTGCAAGTAGGTGCTTATTTATGTGGGTAAACCAAAAAAAAAAAAAAAAAAAAGTTCCCGATTGCAAAACATAGTTCAATCTATGGTATGATGCACCTTTTGCTCCCTATTCTAGTGACTTTAGCCTATAAAAAAGAAAGCCTGCTCTATGCATATGACTTTCTGCCATACTTCATATTTTCATTTGAAAATTAGTCAACTTAATTTCTTAAAAACTTCCTTGATTTTTCTTTTGTAGTAGCGAAATATTTTGTAGAAATTTCAAGTTATATAGATGACCTGTTTCTCTTCTAAAAAATAAATGGTGCAGAGATTTTGAAACAGCGCAATGGCGGAACGTGGTTTCCCACTTGAGGCATCGGTATATTACCTCTGAAATGAGTTAGAAATAGTGATTCCTTATTGCAAAATCTAGTTAAATTGGACTGAGTCTAGCAAAAAGTAACCAAATTTTTAGTAAACATTTTTGGTTGCTTGAGAGCATCACTACACAGTTGGTTCTTTTCTTTTCATTTAATTGATTTCACAAGTTAAAAATCACAGAAATAACCAATTATTGTGCTCTTGATTCCTTTTTCTGAATTGATTCGTCTTTTTGTGTGTTCAAAAAAGTGGAACCAGATTAATAAAAAAGAAGAAGAGGTAAATATGATAAATGCTGCAAATTTGGACAGATTTAACAAAAATTAGCTTAACGGCACTACCTTGCCTATAGTTTATTCCTATCATCTTTTGTTTCTTTTGTAAATAATAACCAATATGATGCTTTGAGACATTCTGACAATTTTTCAGACACTATATAAGAAAATATATATTGACGGCGTAAGTCGGCAATCGCATGTCTCGTTTGCGGTGTCTGAAATTCTCCACCTCTACGTTGTTTTTTAAAGGAAAACAAAGTGATCTCATTCCCTGAAGTTTTTGGAGATTTTTATTCGCACAGATAAGGAAAATCACAGCATTTTTAAAGAATTGCCGTTGAGTAGTTTCCCGTTTAAAAAATAAAGTATGACAGGGAGTCTGCGACGTCGCAAATCTAGTTATGTGATTGCCGACTTACACCGCCGATATACAACAATACAAGTCAAAGTGCTCCTTTTTGTATCGGAAATTAAAGCATGAGTGAAAGTAAACAACGTCAGATATAGTTCGGCTGATTTTGATAAAGCACACCCATCTGTCTATCTTGGATCGAAATAGAGAAACAAAGCTCCTGCCTCCATCAAACCAAAACGTTTTCAACAACAAAATGTCTATATGAGGAATGAAAAGGATATCGACGGTGAAACTACCAAACCACGTATCTCGTTTGCGGTGTTTAAAAATCTACGCTCGCATTTTATTTTTTTTGAAGTAGACCAAATCAATATCATTCCTTGAAATTTTCACAGAATTTTCTCCGCACGAAGAGGAAAAATCACAGAAATTTTCAAGACTGGACGTTCAGTAGTTATTCATTTAAAAAATAAAGTATGACAGGAAGTCTGCGACGTCACAAACCGAGATACGTGGTTTGGTAGTTTCACCGTCGATATCTTACAGCACAACAAGCAGCGCCACTTGTTTTCCAAAGTAAAAAAAAAAAACGGTTTCTTTCAACTAGACTCAATCCGATTTTAATGAAATTAACTTTCCTACCTCCTCTTTACATGGTTAAATGTTTGCAAACACCGTCGAGAAGGCCTGCTTTTCTCATCTCGATGAAAAACAACGAGACTCGGGAGTCATCTGGGCGCGATTAAAGTCATTTTCAAAGCAGTCCACCGAGCGTTCACATTCCATGAGGTGTCCCATAACTGGGCCGTAAAACTATGGGTTATAACGAGACCGAAACACGGTCACATGGCGACAGGCGGTCTCGGAAGGAACCATCATATGCGGAAGCTGCGCGATCACTAAGGGCACGTAAGGTTTTGTTTATTCCTCCAACCATTGACGCTCGCCATGGCAACTGAGCCGGTCGGAGCTACAACCTGGCGAGTTCTCTCTATCGCGAGCCGTGGAATGTGAGCGTTTGCACGGGATTTAAGGCTCACTTGAAAAAAAAACATGTGAGTTTTTGACATCGGCCAAGTTACTTTCTTGCGAGCCGCTGGGTGTTTGTTGGAATGTCGGTGAAAAGCCGGCAGCGTCTTCAAAACGCCTTCAAAAATGAAGACAGCAACCCGGTGTACGATGATAAACCACTTCGGCTGATAGAGAGTTCTCAAAGTTCTCGGTTCCGCGATAGCAGCTGGTCGACGAATAATTTTTTCCTTGTCCTATTTACTCTTTTAATTGTGCTATGCCGGTCAGAAATGAAATTGTAAGATAATTATTTGAACCGTCCCGGTTTTTTAAAATTAATTTTTGTTTTTTCGATCGATCCACCGCCAAGTTTCTCCCTTGCGAGCCACTGGGTGTTCGTTGAAATTTCGGTGAGAGGCTAGGGCAGCGATGAGAGGAGCTCTTCAAAACGCCTTCAAAAAAGGAAACAGCAACTCGCGATACATTACTCGTAATAAACCACTTCATCGTCTTAAGTTCTCGAAGTCCTCTGTTTAATAATACAGCCATACAGGAAATGATAAGTTTGGCGCAAGATTGAACTTGACTACCCCTTCCAATTCCTCAAATTTCCTCCTGTTAAAAATTCAAAGTTGAAAAAAAATCATATTTTTAAAAAAAACTAATTCAAACTTTATATCTGGCATTTGAGTTCATTATTGAGTCTAACAGAGGAATAAAATTTTAAGCCTCTCTTTCTCGGTTCGATATTTATGTGACTTTGGCTCGTTCCTGCAGACCGATTATTGACATTGATAGACAAAGCAACAGACAAAGAAGACTAAAGAGATAAGGAGGAATCCAATTGGCGGAAGCGGGCAATTGAGGAGCTTTCCGAAAAAAGGGCACATAGCAAAAAATTGCGTTTGAGAGAAATGCATTTGAAGTTATGGTCACTAACAGTGACTTTCGTTCGAAATCGGGAGTCCAAGCTGCGATGAAAGGTACCATCAGTGGCCAGAAATTAATGATGGAAACTTAAAATGCATTTTTCTCAAACGCTATTTTTTGCTTTGTGCCCTTTTTCCGGAAAGCTCTTCAATTGCAATGGACAAAAGAGGTAGGTAATAGACTAACTAACGGAAAACCACAAGAGACCCTATGATTATAAGTCAAACGTATTCCTTCTACCAATGAAATCGATCTATGTTCCCTGGGTCCTCTTTGTTTATCGCTGTGTCTATCAACTTCAATAATCAGCCTGTAGTCAGACTTTGCTCAAATGTATGCAGAAGAAGATAAAACTCAGATTAAAATTACTGACTGACATGTTAGCATCAATTTGTAGAATTGGGCTTCTCCTTGTCCATAATATGAAACGCTTTTAATATAGGTAAGATTATTGATTAAATAAAAGTTAGACGAAATAGTAAGAAAGTAATTAAGACTGTATTACTGTTTCAACGTCATTAGAAGATAACTAGAGGACAGAGTTAATGCATGACAAGTATCTTAATATTTATGGAGAACATGACTAGAAATTATTGGTATGAACATTAATCTACTTAACAGTTAATACTTTTATCTACGAGCACTATTAACAGTTAATTTTTACAATCAGGGCAAGAAACAATACAAATTTAGGAAAATACAACCAAATTAGGGTTTTAATCTTCACGGGTTGCGCTGCGACTTCTGCAGCTAATAATAGGTCAGTGACAGGAGTCAAAATTTTGACACTTTTTGTTTCAATATTAAAACTACCTATCAAGTAGAGAATGAAAATATCCATAGTTTTAAAATCACACAAATTTTGAAATAATTAAGACAATTTTGTAGAAGTGTTGAAAAACACAGGTTTAAATGGGAAATACGTACTAGTGACTTCACGAATTGGCCCTTTTTTTAACTTCAAGCGCATTCCATATCATTAAAAAATTGAGAAGAATGTTTTAACTCAGCTCAAGCAATACTTTCACATGAATCAATAAAATTTGTTCCTGTCCTAGACCCATAATATCACTATATTGAACAGCATAATCTACTAAAAGAATGGCTTAGTCACTTTGCAACAGTTTTTACAAAACTTAATCAAATTAAGAAAATTATTCCTACTTAAAACGGAGTTATATCACAAATCATATTAAAAGCAAACCTCCCTTGTTATTGGCAAAAATTGTTACAGAACTCTGACAGTTTTAGCAGGAGTAAAAGAAATATGTTCCTTCTTAAGGATTCTACGTGTGCTAATTGCGGAACCTAAAAAATGAGGGTCTTGAAAGGCTGACTTTAATCGGAACAATTTTGGCATCCTAAAATAAAAAAATATAAAAGGAAATGAATAAATGATGTCTGAAGCATCAAAGTCTTGGATTGATCAGTGCGTGTTATTTGATCACTGTTCATCAGATAATAAAAATAACTAAAAAATGTAATCTTAATTACAATTGTTTTCTTCAAAAAATACACTAAAAAATTAAAAATCAAAAGAAAATAGACAATTTAAAAAAAGGTAAAACCTATGAGCCAAGCATTGTGTAGCAGTGACAACTGCCTTGTCATTGCTTGGCCAAAATTAAGTCTACATTAGTTCCTCTCTCTCTAAAGAAAAGAGACTTTTAAAGGGAAAACAGGAAAATAATTAATTCCCATCGCAATAAGAATGATATATGATGTAACATCACAAAGTGAAAATTTTCTAAAGTTGTCTCTTTCTTGAAAATGTTTTAGCATGGTAAAACAATCCTGCAAATGACAGGAGCTGCTACCATATTAGGGTCACAAACCAGAAACATCCCCAGATATTTATTCAGAAGTTTTCAATGATGCCTTGATGTGAATGAGGAGTAAAGTTTTACTTAATATCTTTGATCAGGAAAAAACTCCAAGACAATTTTTGACAAAACGACTAGTGTCCCAATTTTCCCAATAAACATGACTCATTTTTATCAGTTATTCAAAATGAATATGCTTACAGTAGCTAAGCATTTCCTTTTGTACCACTGGCTGAGAATATCTGCTCAGAGAAATGGCACAATTCGCAATAAGTCTGATTTAAATAGAACAAAATAAAAAAGTACATTAAACCTCCTTGATCAAGAGACAATAAAACATGTATTCTTTTATAAGTTCTTAAGTTTATGCAGCTTAATATCTAAAAAAGAAGTTTCACGAATAATGGGCCAAAAAATTCTGGAAAATCCTTGAATGAAATTTTGATTGGCTAAAAATGCATTCTCCATTAATGCAAATGCATTTCTGTTAAACAGTAAAAATTGCTTCGATTCGTCAAACGACAAGAAAAATGTAAAATTTGACAAAGTATACCATTATACTGAACTCAACTTAGGATAAAGTTTTCGTCTAATAAATTCCAAAAAAGACCAAAGATACCCTTTCCTGATTCGAGATCAAATTCATGAAAAGTATAAGCAGGGATTTTTGCAGCTCAAATGAACTATCTCACTTTATACGCTGGCTTTCAGCTTAACTTTCTGCGAATGTATTCAATTGTGCAGACCTTCCGGCATGCATACTTCAAAGTTAAAATAAAATTTCTTGATGGAAAGATATCATAACATTTTGTTTCACAGCCAATTTTCAGAACATCTATTAGTCATCCCTTTTCCTAAATAAGTAAACTGGTGCAGCAGCTGGAAGCAATGCGCAAAATGCAAAAAAGATAAACTAACGATTGAACAGTCACCTCCTGGAGGTTCACCTGGTAATAAGAAGAGCTAGATTTAAGATCAAGTAAATAATTAGGATAAATGACCCTAATATGGTAATGCATGTGGTTACTGCTAACCTGACACTGCTTGGCAAGGATCTTTGCCAAATCATATGTACAAGTACTCGCGTTATGTGAAACCCATCAAAATAAAAACAGGGTATAACATTCACCACAGCAATGCCAGCAGAAAACACATGCAGATAGGAGAAAAATTTGCTGATAGTGGCTGGAAGCCACGAAGGAAACATAAAGTACCTAGGAACATATTCGGAGACTCCGACTGAGCGGAATATTTCACTAGCGTGCCCACGAAACAGAATGACAGGTTTGTTCTGACGACGAATTTGTATCAATTTCATTGGGCTTGTAAGCATTGGACGGAAACAGTGGAGCCCTTCACACTCTTGTGATGTCTGGCAAGGTTTCTCAAAATTCTCCACAACGTTACGCACATTGAGGCATGAGTACTGAGGAAGTTCAATTGGCTCAAATTCACTCTCTAGGTATTCAAAGCAAAGATTTCGGGACATGTTAGAACGGCAGCAGTCAATAGTACCATCATTCAGGTGTTTCACTAGATAAACAGAAAAACGAGACAAATTAGGGACACAGACATAGAATAAGAATTTTAATTGATCTACATAGCAATTTTTCTTTTTTTCCTAAAATCATGCAAAAACTTCAGCTTAAATCCGGGAAATTTTGTTACACAGTGGATCTGTAATTATTTGAGCTAGAATTTTGCTATGTTCAGATGATCAAATTTGTGTCAAATTATTCAAATTTCCAAATTGATAAAAATACAGAAAAAACAAGAATAGAAGGAAGAATAGAAAGAATTGCTGCAAAGCAAAAATACACGTAATGAGTAAACATAGAGTGAACAAGTTGCTCCAAGGGTTATAGAGTTCTTGTGATGAAAGTGTTTTGAGTTCAAAATAATGATGCCCAGAAATTAAAAGTATCAAGTACCTTCGAAAGATTCATCATGCTGATGAATGAATTCTGAGGAGACACAATAACCAGGAGACAGAGACTCAGTCGACTGCACGAGACAATCTCTCCATGAATTCATGTCTTGGACAGGGCAATAATTTACTTTTGTAATCTCGTCCCCAACTTCTAAGCCAGATGGCCCGATCAACAAAGAGTCCTGAAAATAAAATACAAATATAAATCCAATTGAAACAATTGTAAATTAGGCGGAAACCAATAACTTTTTACTTCAATTATCTTTAGTCATTTTTCACCATTCATAACAAATTTTAGTAATTGAAAAATTTAAAGCGACAACTATAAAGGAAAATTTTGAAATTGGAATAAAAGTAATTTTTAAAATAGATATCAATTTCATAATCTGGCTACCCGTATTTAGCCAGTCAAAGAAAATCATGTTTCAGAAATACATACTACAGGGGTGCCAAATTTTCCAAGACACTGGCCAATTGGTACAATCTAGTACTTTGATTTAGGGCCTTTCCAAATTGCCCCAAATTCTTTGACTTCTCTATAATTTTTACTGATATTCCCTCTTTTCCTCAAAATTTTTGGAGTATTCTTAAAAACTGCGTAAGTTTTTGAAAAGGCCCTCAAATTCTTCGCCATGCCATTGCTGTCCCACATTTGTCCTGCAGCCTGATTATTGAAATTTTTTGTTTGTCGGATCGACTAAGATGACATAGGTTAAATCGTGGAGCGTGATTGGTTAGCTATGTCTTATCGCTGCTTTGTCGCTGGAATGATCGACAAGCTAACGGCACCTCTTAAGTTTCCGACAGTATGTCGATCATTCCACCTGACAAAGGCACGATAAAGCAGCATTAAGACATAGCCGACCAATCACGCTCCGCCTTTTAACCTATGTCATCTATGTCGATCCGACAAACAAAAAATTTCAATAATCAGGCTGCTGATCAGCAATGCCACTATCAGCCATTTTCTGCATTCTAGAAATATTAGGAGGACTTGGCTTTTGTGATAGGTAGGCATTTATTTCTGCGTGATGAGAGCAAATGTAATTGAAAAAAATCAAACCTTCAGAATTTGTTCAACATGCACTGATTGACCGATTGAGTAGACCGGTGCAAAAATGAAGGGCATTGCAAAGACGACAAAAGCAGCAAACACAGCGAGAATTAAGTTGTGCCAAATTCCAGCACATAATACCCGCAGCTGCTTTGAGGGGGGAAGATTGTCAACTTGATCCAGGAGCGTGTAAGCGAATGGAATTATGAAGAGTAGCTGCACGCCAAAACCAGATATATGGAGTCCTTCCCTATAACAATGTCCAAGGATAAGTTTTAGAGGCAAATTTCATAAAAAAATTGCTGAGCTTTATTAGTAATGACTGAAAGTAAAGGCACATTGGGAAAGTTACTTGAAACTAACACTAAGTTTACAAATACCAAATACCTTGTGCCCGATGCTTAAACTACGTTAATTGCAACGCATACATAGAAATGCAAAATAATGAGATATCGTCACCTTCCAGGCAAAGTATCACAAGCGCCATGCGACGTTTAAACATTTCCGACGCCATTATATTTTTTTACAGAGAAATTTTTCAGCAAACCTGTCCGAAAATTACACCGAATTTTCTTTGTGCTGCCGATAAAATTTAGTGAAATTTTGGAACAGATTCAACCGACAATTTCTCAGTAAAAAAATAAAATGGCGGCGGAAATTTTTAAACGTCGCATGGCGCTTGTGATACTTTGCCTGGAAGGTGACGATATAAGCCAGATGGCCAAGCTTGAATAAGACTTGAGTAAGTGACTTGAATAAGTAATCTACCTATAGTATTTTATCTACATGGATTCAATTTCTGAAAGATCAAACTTGATAATATTTTCATTTTGCTTCTTATTCTTTTTGAAAAATTAATGAATTTAATTTTACCAGATCAGAGGTAAATAATCTAATTTCCAATATAATTTCAGATTGTTTTTGTCTCAGAATATTGGAAAACTGAGGAATATTTTCATAGCTGTGCCTTTTTCTTCTTCTCCTTATCTTGTTTTTCTTAAGTATTAGAATTTTTGGGCACATTCATTATCTTAGGCAAACATTGTAGGACCTAAAATTTAAAAAATAAAAATTGCATATAAAACCTTGAGAAGGTTGCTAAGAAAATAAATTTACCTGGCAGCAGCAACAGCGTGACCAAGTTCATGAACTATTGTGCACGTCAGCAAGGAGAATATGTAATGAAATATATCTTGAGCAGGCAGATTTAAACCAGGAATCTACAAAAAAATTGATATAGGTAATGAAACAAAAAATTTAAAATTTCTGAATTGCTTCAGTGCAATGGGATATGGTTTAGTAAGAGGACAGCAGCAATTAGGGATCATGAACCGCCAGGTAGCGCTATAAAACAATAAAAATTAATGTTTAAAAATTTTAATGGTTTTCGTTTTCACGATCTACAACCCTAGATCAGTGCTCTTAACAAGGTATTACTTAGGTCTAGGCCCGACACCAAGAGAGAAAGCAATTGTGTACTTTCTTCATAAAATACACTAAAATTAGACTAAGTAGGTATTTTCTGATGAAATTTTAAGAATCAAACATTGCTCTGGTAAACTTACTTCGTAAAACACTAAGAAGCCACACTCTCATTTTATTTTGTAAATTTATACTTCAGGTGATCATTAAATAAAACTTGAAAATTAAAATTCCTTTCTTGAAAACGCAACTTTCTGGCAGGAGTGAATATGGATTAGGTCAACTAAACCTCTCCACAGCAAGTCCCTTTATCAGTGACTTGATCACATTTTACAATGCTACAAGACTGAACTATTACAGATGCTTACCACTGGTTCAAAAGTGATTCCAGCAAAGTGTGATTTCTCCCCATTCGAATCTTCCTGAAAGAAATCTTTGATTGAGTAGCCAATACGAACTATGATCAGAATTGTAGCGACAGGCATGAGGGCGATCGAAACAACCGAGCCGATACAGTACCACGTCGCTAGACATTTTGGTCGAACTGTCCCCCACTTCTGGATAAGACGGTTAAAAGCTGTTGTAAACCATTGAATGTTCATCAAACCGATCGTGATGCCAGATTTCTTCATGAGAACTATGTACGGGTAATGACAGCAGCTCTGAAAGCAAAACATTTTTAGGGATATTATACCTCATCTACTTTAAACTAGGAGAGTTTTAATAGGTATTCAATGATACAAAAGGACACTGCAAAATGTTAAGTTCAGATGATTACTGTTTCACACAAGATGCAGATGTGCGGGTGCTTGTTTTTCCTGTTTCCACTCCTCTTTTCGGTGAAACAGAATAAAAGTCGTAGCTGAGATATAAATTAATACCCTAATTTTCTAGCACTTTTCATGTTCTCTAGGATGCATACTACTCGTTTCTTAAGGAAACATCCCAAAAAAGTGTGACCCCCTAAAGTTAACAATTACCAAAGAACATGCTTCCAGTATAGCTTGCTACAGAGATTCAAATTAACACATTAGACTTTTCGGACTTGTTCAACTCAGGTGAAGCAATAGTGACAAACTAGGATGTATTCTTCACATGATATAGCAGAGAAAAGGAAAAATTTGGGTGCCTACCTTGAAGAAGGAGTCAAAAAAGTAGGCGATGCAATACATTATGAAAACAACGCTCAAGTAAACTTGTAGTTCACCCATGATTCCTCTTCGCTTCTGTAACAATCTCGGACAAACTTTGAATCAGACAATAATGCTGTCACAATCCGGCTTCCCCGGCGAAAAGATCAGCCTCATTCCCGAAGTTTTCTGGGAGCTAAGGAGTATTTTGGAGGACGTAAAGTGGCCGATCACAACTTTGTACACATGCTTCTTATCACATCCCTAAGAGCGATTTTCTCCCGAGCCCAGTCCGTCAAATATCCAGTTCTGAGTTAAAAACATTGGCCGGAGTCCTAGCCGAGTGATAAAATAAATATTAACGAAATATTCACATCAATTCTGGAGGAATATCACACTTAAACATCACTAAAATAACACAGACTTCTTATCATGCTGAAAGAGGAGCTGAAATTTGAGGTTACAAAGTAAATCAACAAATCAACAAACGCAAGTGCGCGCTCTCGCCGGGTGATGGCGCTTTTTCTTCCCGCGTAATATTTGCCGCGAATAGTGAGCTTGTTCAAATTTGAAGCGGCAAATTCAAATTGACGGGCCTGCGAAAAGCGCCCGCAAATTGGCAAAAATCTCACGAGAAAGTCCTCTGAGACTTGAGGCTTATCAAAAAAGCTTTGAATGGTATTTTAAATGTATTTAGAACTACATCTGCGAATAATTTCCGATGACGAAAAGACGTATGTCTATTAAGCGTTATATTGTTGCTATTTACCGCCTACAGGATGGGCACAAATTACTGATACTTGTTAATATCTTAAGAACGGTTTCAGACACTGTCATATGGTTTGGACGAAGCGTCCTGAAATAAAAGTAAGCGATGTTTTAAGGGGAGTTATGACACCCCCCCCCCCCTATGGGGAAGCGGGGGCGGGGGCGGGGGCGGGGGCCGACTTTCGGATCTCAAATGAGAACCCCCGCATCGTGTTATACTTCATTCAAAATATCATAAAATTAATTTTGACTCAAACCGCAGGTTGCTATCTATCACCGATTTAATATGGCGGCCGGTTAAAGTTCCGAATGGCGGAAAAACATGCAATATCTCGATTTTTCATCGGCCGATTCGGATAAAACCTGGTAGCCGGAGGTTGTGTGGCAAGGAAAGAACAAATCTGACATCAAAATTGATCAACTTTAAATTTTTTCTCAAAATGGCGGGAAGCGGCTGTTTCGGTTTTCGCCCGCTTTCCGCCATTGACCGCCTGACAGCTTCGCGCCTCAGGCGTTATGCACTCAGTGGCGTTATTTTGTGGGGGAAGAAGGCAATTGCC